TGGAGACGGTGCTGGTTGCCCTTACTGACGACCTCCAGAGGCATCTGGATTGAGGCGGTGTGGCGGCACTGTTGTTATTAGATCTGTCGGCCGCATTTGACACAGTCGACCACCAGTTGCCTCACTTGTTTATGTTGTAATTTAATGGTTTTATTGTTTTATCTTGTTTTTATGCTTGTGCCCTCTTGTAAGCCACCCTGAGCCCACTCGCGGGGAGGGCGGGGTAAAATGTTATAAATAAATAAACTGATTTCCTCAAGTCTATAGGGACTAAAATAAAACAAGTTAGAACTTGGGCTGAGGATGTATATAAGGCCCTTTTCAAACAGACATTGTATTCCATTTTAGTAGCTGGTTGCTAATGGATTTTTTTTTGTCATTTCAGATAGACTCATTTTAGTAACCAGCTGCTAATGGAATTTATTTACCTGTTCATACAAAGCCATTTCCATCAGGTTAGCAAAGCATGGCTGAGCCTTTTTTGAGGGAAACTGCTTCTATTTTCACCTCTTTTTTGCACTTCTGAATCACTGTGTTTAAAATATCTGCAGAGCTTCCTACAATGTCGCTTTCCCCCCACTCTTTTTCATCATGCAATCTTTCTCGCTTTTTTTTTTTAAATGCTCTAAGGTGTGTGCTATAGCTCTAAACCAATATAGCACTTCAGCACCATTGAGATGCCTGGACTCCACTGCTTTGAGATACATTGAGATATAGTGAGATCAGCTGTTGTTACCTGGAAACAAGAGAAGTAGTTCATTGGGCAGCAGGTGCTCAAGGCATCAGTGACTGGTGAGACAGATGTTGCTAACCTAAGAAGGTGTTTGTAGCAAACATCCTAATGTTCACCCATCCATGCCCAGACACAATTGGCTGGTAAGTGACTTGTTGCCAAGTGGATCACAGGGATATATCTCAGGGAGGCAAATTTCTCTTTGTGGGTTGAAGTTGGCGAGTGGTTTGTCTGCATATCTGTGAGGTTAGTCTTGTTGGTCAGCTGCTAGAAGAATGAGTAGGGCGAGGGGAGTAGATTGGAAGGAACAGGAAACTCTTGACCTCTTTCCATTTTGGGGAAAAGAGATAATCCAGCAAGTCCTGCTATCCTCTCACAGGAATTATAACGGTTATAAGTGGATTTCAGAGGAGATGTCCAGGCATGGCCATAAGCAGACACCCAAGGAATGCCAAACAAAAACAAAAACTTTGTGGCTTGAGTATAAGCGGGTGGCTGCTCATAATTCAAGGTCTGGTCATTCACCAACCACATGTCCTTATTATAAGGAGTTACACAGCATCCCGAAAGGAGATGCTAGCGTGAAGCCCAAGAGATTGCCATGCAGCATCACCTTTGAAGATGATAAGCCAGCTTCTTCTGCTCATCAGGAAGTGCTTTCAGGGGAACTGTTGTGTTATGAGACTCCAACAACAGTTAACTTGGAGGACATCTGCCCAAATGATTCTGGTAAGTTGTGCATACATTTTTCAACTGTGGTAGCATTCTGAAGGGTTGGTTGTTTGCATGTTTGTCTTTTCTGACAGATCATTAAACCACAGGTGCTGCATCATTAGCACACTGTCATTAATTGCACAGCATATCATATCTGGTGTTAGCAGATGTTCCACAGGTTACCATGATGGAGAGGGGTAGGAATAAAGCAGTTTCTGAAGTTAAATGTGCTGTGTGTGGGGTTACACGCATGCCATGTGCTATTGCTTCCTGTCTTACTGAGGGGTGCAGTGTAATGACAGAATTAAAGTGGTGAGATGGCAATCCTGCTTCCTAGGGCCAACAGACTCTGTGTGGGGTGGTGAGGGGTGGGGGAGTACACTTCCAAAGCTGATGCACAGAGAAAAGTAGTGTGCATGTTTAAGTTTGCATAGTTTGATCTCTGGTTTTATGGTGGCTGTCTGCATAGATTTATGGCCATCAGAGGTGCTTTTAGGGAGGTACTGCCAGATACCATATGTAGACAGACTTGGTCCTTGCTCTCTAAAAGATATAGAACTAGAGGACCTCACTGTCTGGAATGTTGGTCCCAGGTCCCAGGAAGGGACATTCCTGCCACCTGGCTACTAAGTGATTATGCTCCAGTCACAGGGGGTGGGTGCAGACCAAACAGTGGCAAACAGATTCATATGCTGGCAGTGGTGAAGGCTGAGCACCACAAGGGTATCATCTGCCTGGCACACATGCTTTCCCTGGTGGTGAAAGATGCTCTGTGGCTGGAGAGGACTGTGAGCACCACCTGGAACACTGCCACCCTTGAGCTGCAGTCCCTGCTTGAGACCTGCTGGTGCTGGGCTTCCCAATTTTTGCACAGCATCATGTTTGTGCTGCATGAGAGGCAGGGGAGGGGGATGAGCCTGAACACGGGCTCATCCTGGGCCTACCCACCCTCTGGAACTCCACCTATGGCACGATTGCATGTTTGGAGGGGGCAAAAGAACATGGTGCAAGATGTCATCTCCTCCTTGACCATCCTGCATGGAAAAGAGGAGCTGAACATCACCATTCTCTCTGTAATGCAGAGCGTACTGGCTGGCAGGCAGGTTTCAAAGTCTGGTGTCATTCAGTTTAAGGTCACAGGAGCAGAGAGTAAGTAAGGCAAGGTCATTCAGTCTGAGGTCAGAGGATCAGAGTTATAGGAGTCAGGCAAGGCAGTAGTAGCAGGTCAGCATCCAGCATACACATTACAAAGACACCTAACAGCCTCTCTTTGCTGGTTTTTATACCTCCATGCCTAAGGATTATGTTCACAGCCAGCTGCTCAGAAGTAATCCTGCAACTACTCATCCTCATCATCAGCAAGCAGCTGGCATCAGGCCAGAAGGCACACACTCTGCCTTCTTGCCTGTAGTTCTATTCTCAGCTTCTGTCTGCAGTCCTCTAAAGTTGTAGAAGATACTGGTGGGCTGGGAGTGGCTAACTGAGGTCCACCTGCTGAATCAGGGCTGGAGGGTGTTGGTGGCTCTGCACCAGTTGTTGGCTATGAATTCTGACAAGCCTGCATCTCATTCTCTTGTTGGTCAACTTCTGTTGATTAAAGGCTGGCTTTTCCTGAGGAGTCCTCCCTATTGCTGAGCCTTGGCTGACCCATGACACAGAGCTCATGGATTGAAAGTGTGAGCTCTGCAAAGAAGTGTGGAGGCTTCAGGCCAGCAGGCATGGCCAGAGGGAACAGTGGGTGACAGAAGCTAAGGAGGAGGGGGATGGGAAGGAGGAGCTGCAGCCCAGCACCACTGCCTCAAAGAGCCAAACCAGACAGAAGCCTCACTACAGGTTGTCAGTGGTGATTTGGGAGGTCAGCAGCAGTGGTGGGAAGGCCAAGCATACCATGGCAGAGGATTAAGCAGATGGTGAGGGAGTACCTCGCTGAGTCCCTTGAGCCCACCAATGCCAATCCCCTTGAATACTGGTCACACAATGCCATTATCTGGGCCAACCTCTCTTGCATGACCATGAATCTCCTCTCCTGCCCTACCACCAGCATCCAGAGTGAGTGGGTTTTCTCCCACCTTGGAGATCTTCTGAGCTGCCACCACTCTCACCTGGACCTGGCCAGGGTGGGTGAGTTGTCCTTCCTGAAGGTCAACCACCCCCTGCTGGGCCACCCTGCTGTGGACCTAGGTAGAGTAAGATCCAGGCCTCCCTGGAAGGCCTAAAAACCCAATGAAATGGACCTAAAGCCATATTTCTTGATACAAGCCATTTTCAAAAGAGAAATGGCGTGAAATTTTCTGCTCTTCCATCCAGCAAACATTCAATATAGACTTTGGCTAGGACCCCAGACCAAGGCAACTCGCAATGCTCAAAGTTTAGAGCTCTTGCAAACAAACCACTCTGAACTACACAAGCAACACGAATCACTACCAAAGCCCCTAACCAGGGAAACGGGGTTACACATTACCTGGATGGTTTCTTTTTGGGGGGTTCCCTGGGACCCCTGACTGCACTAACCATTTGTCTGCTTTCCAAAGTCTGGCACCTGAATTTGGGGTTCCATTGGCCCAAAACAAAACTGAGGGCCATGTCACCCAGCTCACTTATCTGGACATTTTACTTGGCTCCATGCACAGCATTTCTTGCCTGCCTGATGATAAATTTTCAGGCCTCAAGGCCTTACTGCTTCAGGTCATCAAGAAGAAAAAATGCACACTTAAAGAGATTCAGGCTCTCCTGGGTTACAAAGGTTAGTAAAATGTGAAAAAGAGGGCCAATATTAAAAACTAAATGTAAAAGATACATAGAAAAAGCTACATGTATTTATTAAGTACAAATTTAAAACATATATAAGGGCCCATTCACATCAAATATATATATATAACATAGCAATATACACGGGCTTTAAAAACCTGACCTGACGCGTTTCGGCCTGCATAGGCCTTCCTCAGAGGTCAAACAATTGAGTGGCAACATTTAGTTTTTAATATTGGCCCTCTTTTTCACATTTTACTAACCTTTGTTAGGTTCTGAATTTTAGTGTTAAGGTTCAGTTTTTTGCCCTTTCTGTCCCTGCTTACCTCTATTTCACACATAGGCTAGTTACCCCTGGGTGTGCATTTTGTGCTTGACTAGCTTGTTCCACCATTGGTGCCTCCAGCCCTCACCACGTTAGAATCACCTGGGGTTGAGGATCTGAGTGTGTGGTTGACTTCTTAGCCAACTTTAATGGGGTAGCAATGTGGCAAGTGGCCCTATCCCCTGGTGATGCATTGCAGGTTCACTCTGACTTGGCAGGCAGTTTGGAGTCTACTTTTCAGAATGTTGGCACACACAGCATTGGCCTTCACATTGGACTGGAACTAGCATCCTTACGGATCTTACATTCCTTGAGTTTTTCCCAGTATTAGTGGCAGTGGTCATTTGGGGGAGGGCTATTTCCATAATAAATGCATCATGTTTTGATAATGACAATCAGGCCCTAGTTAGCGTTACCAACTGGCTGTCTTATCACTCTGAAAGGGTCATGTGCCTTGTGCAGAGATTTGTTCCTGCTTACCTTATGGGTAACATCTCTTTTCCAGTAAGATATGTTGAAGGTGCCAGTAATGCCATCACAGGCTACAGGGCCTGTAAAACAGAGGTGTTCTGCCAAGCCTATGGTTGAGGCTGTGGAAGTTGTCTTTATTTCAGGAATTGAGGTTCTGGGCTTTGGCCTCTGATGCACAGCAACACCCAGACTGATTTCCAGAGGAACTGTGTAGCCTTGGGAACAAGTGATATTACAGAGAGTATTTGCATCCTTCGCCCCCTCCACCTGCCAGTCTTATGACCATGCTCTCCCTTCCATTCTGTCTTTTCTGGCATCACTGGCCATCAGCATGAACTTTCCAGTCACCAAGGCGCATGTTCTCCATTACACTGCACATCTTAAAGAGTGTAGCCTTGCATCAGAACCATGACCTTACACCTAGCGGCAATATCCTTTTACAGTAAGGCTCTGGCCTTTGCTGATCCCTGTAACTCTTTTATCACCTGCTGTGCAATCGGAGATGGCTTGACTCATGTAAGCCCATTATTTTGCAGGTGCTGGATGGTATTATTTGGCGCGGCTGTGGTTTGTTCTTCCTTTGAGGCCACCCTGTTCAAGGAGGCAGTGGTAAGGCTGCTGTTAAAGAAACCATCCCTGGACCTGACTGATCCAGCCAACTACTGCCCATTCTTGAATCTTTCATTTATGGGTAAGGTAGTTGAGAGAGCAGCAGCAGAACAGCTCCAAGCTTTCCTGGAAGATCCCTTTATTCTGGATCCATTCCAGTCTGGCTTCTGCTCTGGCTATGGGATGGAGACAGCTTTGGTCACCCTTGCAGATGATCTTTGTAGACACCTGGATTGAGGTGGGTCAGTGCTGCTGTTATTACTTGATCTGACAGTAGCTTTTGACACAGTTGATTACAGTCTAATGACCTTGCTGATGTGGGGATATGTGGGACAGCCTGGCAATGGTTTGTCTCCTTTCTCCATGTTCGGGGACAGAAGGCAGCACTTGGGGAGAGGGTTTCACTGTGATACCCAGTATGTGGCATCCCTCAAAGGGCAATCTCTTCTTGTATGTTATTTAATATCTATATGCACCCCCTCCTCCAGTTGGCCCGGATTTTTGGGTTGGGTTGTCATCAGTATGCTGATGACACCCAGCTATATTTGCTGTTGAATGGCCAGCTGAACACCATCACAGATATTTTAGCCAAGGGTTTGGAGTCTGTGGCTGGTTAGTTAAAGCAGAGCTGGCTGAAATTAAATCTATCGAAGATGGAGGTCCTGTACCTGAGTCATTGGGGGACAGGATTGGATCCAACTCCCAGCTCTGGACAATGTAGCACTGACACCAATGACAACAGTGAAGAGTCTGGGTGTGATTTTGGATGGCTCATTCTCAATGGAGGCCCAAATGATGAATGTTGCTAGATTGGCATTTTTTAAAAAAATCCCCTGAAGACAGGGTAGCTTTATTTCTTTTGTTACACCTACAAAACTACAGAAAATAGAAAAGGGAAAGGGAAAAAAAATAAAAAACCCAGGGAATAAGACAGAAAGTAATAAAAATCCCACACTATGACTAAAAACCCAAGAAAGGAAGGTCATTAACAGTTAGTATTCAGTTAGTCATAAAAATAATAACTTTTCGTTTATGTCAATGAATTCAAGAGTTAGTGAGTCCGTTTTAGTAATTGTCTATTTTCTTTCTTCAATGTGCACAAAGTCTCTTTCATTTTCTCCTTCAACTGCAGGTCTTTGACTTCAAAAGAGTTATCTAGGTCCCCTTAGCCGCAAGTCGTATGCATCTCTAGCCGTGCCGCCTTCTGCTCCTCCTGGGTCACCATCCATCTCTTCCAGTGTGTCTGCTTGGCCCCCACAGACACCCTGTGAGGTAGGTGGGGCTGAGAGAGCTCTTGACAGAAACTGCTCTTTTTTCAAGAATAGCTCTTATCAGAACTACAGTTTGCCCTAGGTCATCCAGCCAGGTGCAAGTGGAGGAGTGGGGAATCAAACCCGGCTCTCCCAGATTAGAGTCCACGCACTTAACCACTACACCGAACTGGCTCTCTAAGAGAGAGATGCACACACACAAAAAGTCTATCATTTCACAGCATCTCCTGCTTTAAAAACAAATTCATAATACAAAGGGCACACCAGCTAATACAATGCATATTTTAACACCATCTATCAGCCAATTGCTAGGAAAAGCTGAAGACAGCAAAAAAAGAAGGTGAACCAACGTGAGATGGATTGACACAAGAAAGGAAGCCATGGACCTCAGTTTGCAAGGCCTGAGCAAGGCTGTTAACAACAGACCTTTTGGAGGACATTATTGCATAGGGTTGCCGTAAGCAACTTGACAGCACTTAACATACATACCAGACAATTATTATTTCATTTAGAAAATATAAATTGCAAGAAATCACTAGAAAGAATTTAAAATATTAAAAAATTTCCCCAATATCAATCTCATCCTCCTTGATAATAAGCCATTAGGCTATCAAGTGGGCCAGTCTTACTTTCTCCCTACACCCCCCAAAAAAAACTAACTCTCAATGTTCCCAGGGCAATGACCATGATTTTTTTTAAAAAAATCCCCTGAAGACAGGGTATCTTTATTGCTTTTGTTACACCTACAAAACTACAGAAAATAGAAAGGAAAAGGGAAAAAAAATAAAAAAACCCAGGGAATAAGACAGAAAGTTTACGTCTGGGATTCTTTCCCGACGCCGCTTCTGTTGGGGGGGGGGAACTCACTTTTAAAACTTTTTTGCTCCGTTTTCTCTCCATTTCATTGACGGTCTGCTCACAGACTCCTTGTAATCTCGCCCATTCGATGACCTTCTTTCTTGTCCCGGCTGGCCTCAGCTATGCTTGGTAAAAACCGAGCCTCGCAGGGGGTGGACCAATTGGGGCAAAAAGGAGCGCCTCAATTCTCCTGCTTTTAGCCATCGAAGAGGTCACCCCCCCAGTGCCCCCAGCTCGGAGCCTTTAACTAAGGCTCACCTGGGGGTGCCACTTGAGGTGGCACTCCTCCAACACCCCTGGAGCACGGATTGCCTCCCCAGCTTCAGGGGAGAGTGTCCGCCATCGCTGAGCTATAGACCGGAAGATTGGCATTTTTCCACCTCCGCTCTGAAACTCCTTTGGGTAGTCAAGGGTGGGGTATAAATCCAATCTCCTCCCCCCCTCTCTCTCTTATGACTCACTTAGAAGGGTTTTACTCCTTCTCTCTTCCAGCTTACAGAGTGAAACCCAAAGGCCGTCTCCAGGTTGAGTTATCTATCTTTGTTTCCTTATCCCTAAAATGTGATATTACAATGCTACCATTTGATAATCCTACAGAACTAGCTGTTAAACTTGTTTTTGAAAGTTCTTTTTTATCATTTTATTTTCAGTTTTCAACAACATACAAACATTTATATCTTATTTTGATTATCATGAATTTATATGTGCCCTCCTCCTAAGATAGCTATGCCCTTTTACAACATTGGGAACTGCTATTCACCCTTATGGAAACATTAGAAAGGAAATTTCCCTCAGCTGAAATTATTTTGGCAGGGCTCTCTCTCTCTCTCTCTCTCTCTCTCTCTCTGTGAATTCTTCTGTAATTGTTTCAAAGAAAGTATTATATCATGAAAATATCCTATGGATGAGAGTGCCAAGAGATTCTTAATGAATGACAATCAAACTAATGTATACCTGTATTGACTTGACTATGCAGATTCCTGCTCATATGCCTTTCTGCTGTTTCCAAGCCCATCAGTATTTTGGTCTCTCAAACATCTCTGTTCATTCTCATGTGTGAGGAGCAAGGTAAATCAAGTGGTTCATGGGTTGCTTCACTGCTGGGTCTAATGCTCCTTTTTGTTTTGTATCAAGTGAAGCTGAAAATTTGCAGAGGGGCATAAATTAATTTGATATGTAGCCTGCAGTTGCAAAGTGCATCATGGAGATGATTGTACAATTCACACTTCCTGAACTAAAGCATATGCACCTCAATAAAAACCCAGCCAAACTGCATATGGGAAAAAGGAACATTGCAGATTTATCTACTTTCCCCATATTCTCTTATAACTGTGCCTGGCTTTTGTTCCCTTCTTCAACAGTTCTTTGCTTTTATGTTGGCAAATGATAAATTTTCTCATGTTTTACATTTTATATTTAGTTTATCTCTTTATTTTTGTATTCATTTTTCCTTGAAAATGGAATGAGTCTTTAGAATAATGCAGTAGATATTGAGTTTCTAAATTGCTATTGGGTATATACTGCATAAGAAGGTTATCTGATCTCTAACTTAATCATGTGAAAATATTGCTACAGAAAAGCAGGTTTAGTAACAATGAGACACCTTTGCTTTCATAAAATTTATTTAACTATACACCCATTATGGAGCATTAATACAGAATTCCCTCACTTTCTGTCACATTTAGGGAAGATTTATTGTATATAGTGATTGAATGCACAGGCAAAAACAAATGTGTATATAGTTTATACTGGATGCTATTTAAGCTTATCAAGAAATATCACTGAATTAAGCATTTCCTAGATGCTGAAGTGATGGAACAAACCATGTTTATATTTTATAGCCACAAAGCTGGAATTTAGCAATACGTGAGCATTTTCCCCTCCCCAAAATAATGGTTATCTCAAAGCATTTTTTTTTTTAAAAAAAAACACACATACCTTAAAACATTACAGCACTGCAGAATTTCAACTTGTGGTAATCATATCTTTCCAGCTTTTTGCCTGAACTGCAGAAGTAGGCCCAAGCAGTTTTTCATGATAACTAGATATTGGCAGCAGACAATTTGTACTGCCTTGTATAAATATTTGTCTGATGTGACTTAATGGAGTTACTCTAATGTTAACTTAATATAGTGTTCTACACTCTGTGCAGCTGCTACTTAGCTAAACAAGCAGCAAGCAATATTGTTGATGGAAGTTCTCGATTTAGCAACAATCTACATAGAAAAGCCTTCTCCCTGGAAATGCTGAAAAAGGCATCCCCCCTCATCTTCCAACAGCCTTCATTAATACCACTACCCTGTTACCACTCAGCAATATCTGCTGAATTAAAGTCTTTCTTTAATATTAGATACTAATTATCAGTATAAATTATGGGAATCATAAATTATTCCCAGTAAAATAATATTATGGAAGTAAACATGGAGCCCAGTAAAATATAAATGCTTAATCTTAAATCAACAATGAGGTTTCATTCTTTAACCTCTAAATGTAGAAACAGGCATATTCGTTTCAATATCCATTTTTTTAAAAAAATATCTTCATGGGTTCCTCTGTTTGATAACTAAAGGTATTTTAATTCTAATATGTTCCTCATGTATCTTGGGGGGGGGAAGGTATGTACATAGTATTAAATATGTGCATAAAAAAATGCACGAAAAGGCCCTAAACTGCACAAATGTGGAGAATTTGCATCTCCATATCAAGAAGCCAGTCTTCCAGGACAGTCTGCAGATTTTAAATTAACTATCCCTAAGTATGTACTTGATCTTTAGTGATGGTGTTTCTGTGTCTCTGGTGTTCCTTGTGTAGATATAGAGAAAGGTGACATAAATGAGGTTGATCTACATAATAAATCATCTCCTGACTTTTTAGTGCTGGTTGCTGCTGTAACCCCACTTTGCTCCAAAGCTTGCCAGCATTACAGACTGCTTTGCTGATCCAGCATGCAGCAAAATCCTGATATGCAAGCGAGGAACTGGTTTAAATAACCACTGTCTTCTTGATTGGCTGGCCTGCCTGAGGTAAGGCAGTCCCAGCCATGGCCCAGTGGGAGCCTCATGGTCCATTCAAGGATTGTGATGGCCACAATGGCATCACCCTGCTTGGTGAGCAAACAAAGGACTTCTTGTGAAGTAAAGGGTGACTGGAAGGGATACAATGATTTTGACTGGAGCTGTCTAAGATGGTCTTGGGCACATCACAGTTGTTTTTCATCATTGTTTGCATCCTTCCCGTGATCTCTCTGCTGTTTCTACATCCAACCTCCAGGTGGTGGCTGGAGATCTCCTGCTATTATAACTGATCTCCAGATGACAGAGATCAGTGCACCTGGAGAAAATGGCCACTTTGGACTCTGTGCTATTCTGCCCCAAACTCCGCCCTCTTCAGGCTGCACTCCCAAAATCTCCAGGTATTTCCCAACCTGGAGCTGGTAGCCCTAATTCCATCACTTATAAGAGGTACCCTCACTAAAAGGGAAGGGCAGTGTTTAATAATTGTGCAGATCAGCTATTAATAAAACCCAATTTGACTTCTACACTTGTGTCTCATGATTTCATTCTGAAGTGCAGGGGGCAATAGTGCCTTATCTTTTCAGTGTGTTTCACTGGGTGGATAGAGTATAGAATTCTGTTTATAGTTTGAATTTGCTGCTATTTCAAATCACTGATTATTTATCATACTGATATACCATATCAAAAGGAGACAGCAGGAGTAAACTTATAGCTGGTGTCACAACTTATTTTTATCTGTAGCATGCAGTTACTATAAAATGACTATAAAGTGCAGCTTTGCATTGCAACTGAGACTTCCATGATTCAGCAGGGGATCTAAACCTGGTGGTCCCAGGTTGTTGACAGTGAAATCCAACAAAAGTGGGTTGAACCGGATGGAGGCCATTCAAGGCCCCCTCACTGGCTGAAAGGTCTTTTTTTTGTCATTAGATATTTATGGCTACTGCTCAGCCAGCACACAAACCTCCACCTCCCAAGGCAGGTCAAGGCATACAATAGGCATGCAAGGCTAATTCACCTGGCTTGGACAGCCATAATTTCACAGCTTGAGACAGAGAATGGGTAAAGCTTACACCCTTTTTTACCTGTCCAGAAGGGCATCATGTAAAGCAACCAGGCCATACAAAGCAATTTAGCCTGGTCAATAATGCATTGTTTACTGTTCATGGTTGACAGTGGGTAAGCAGACAAATCCCAGTACTGGGGTCTCAATATAACAACATTTTCCCAAGCCGCTCACTCTAGATAACAAGCCATGCTTGTAGAGCCCACAATTGTGCCTAATGCTGGGCCAGCACACAAACTCCCTTCCTGTTGCACAACTATGGTTACCAACTCCCTATAGTCAAATGGCTGCACCTGTAATACTTATGCCATGCTTACCCAGAGGGCCTTAGACCAGATTCATTGACTTCTGTTAGACTGAGTCAGGATCCCACCATTGTTATTAAGCCTGCAGACAAGGGTAGGGCCATAGTAGTCATGGATATAACAGAGTATAAGAGAATGGTATATAACCTGTTAAATAATCCAGAATATTACATTAAAATAAAATCAGATCCAACATCCCATATTATTAATATTATTAAAATCACAGTTGAGGAGGCCAATATAATGGTATATATAGATGATAATACAGCCAAATTTATATGCAATAAATATCCTAGGCAATGTTCCCTCTAAGCTGTGGAGTCTTGTGAGCAAAAATTCTACTTTGTGAGCTACTGGCATTAAAGCTGTGAGTGAGCAATTTGGCTACTGCATAGATTAGTTTGCTCTGGAGCCATCCTTCCTGAGCGGAGACAAAAATGTGTGAGCTGGAGGCTCAAAAACAGTGAGCTAGCTCACACTAACTCAGCTTAGAGGGAACCCTGATCCTAGGGTCCCAGTACACAAAGATGGCAGACCGCCCCCAGGCAGGCCAATTCTATCAGGGAGTGGGAGTGCATTAGAACCTCTGGCGCAGTATTTAGATGGCTTTTTAAAGCCAGTGGCAGAGACCGTAACATCATATATTAAGGATACAAAGCACTTTATAGAACTGATAGAAAATCAGTCCATTACAACAGAGGATATATTAGTTATGGTGGATGTAGGAGCTTTATATACGGATATTCCAGAGGAGGAAGTGAGAATAATTATTGAGAATGTTTTGGAACAGAGAACAGACAAACATCCACCAACTCAGTTTTTAATGGATATTCTAGATATTGTGTTTGAAAACAATATTTCAGATTTGAAGGGGACTTCTATTTACAGGTATGTGGAATAGCGATGGGGAGTCCATGTGCTCCAGATGTAGCCACCATTTTTATGGACCATTTTAGAAAATACATTCATATATGATAGTAGAGTCAACACATTTTTTTGAAGAGATCAGATTATACCATCGGTATTTGGATGACATTTTTAAAAAAAATTTAAGAACAGGAATAACATTAATGATTTCGTGTCTTGGATTAATCCAATCCATCCGAGTATTAAATTTATGATCAATTTCAATCCTCTCATTTTGAACCCTTCTCTCTTCCATTATTTGGGTACTTCCTGCCCACGGTATTGTCAGTCTCGTGGTCACCAGCCCATGTCTTTGCAGAGTGTCTTTACCCCCATCAACCACTGTTGCTGAGGTGAGGTGTTCCAGGCCCCTCACTGAAATTGTGCTATATTCATGGCTTTCCATGGAGGTTATCCTGGCCTATTAATAGAGGTATGGGCAACTCATCCAACAGGGCCATGAAAACTGTAGCTTCATAATGCCCTATCTGTATCTACCCTTTGACCAAGGGCCAAAACTCCTTAAAGTCACGGACATACCTTGTGGGTTGAGTTCTCCCTTGGCCATATCAGGAGGTGTCACCTCCAGATGGGCAGTCACAGCATTAATGGTATCCAGCAAGTCTGGCATCATGCGTCTAAAGTGCTAAGCCTGCACAATTGAAGGGGAGAGGGTCTGCTTTGGATTTCTTCAGTGTTGCTATGGGAAATGCCATTGCATTACATAAATAGAATGTCATGTTGGAAGTGCCTGGGCTGCCCCTAGGTAAAGCAAAGCCCTGGCTCCAAGGAGATCGATCTGTGACCTGGGCCCAGCTGGGATCTCACTGTGGGCGCTGGCATTCAGAAGGGGATTGGGCCTCAGCCTTTTCCTTCTTTGTTTTTCCCTCTATTGATTTGTTGGAGCTCCAGTGCTCTCCTGTTGGTTATGCTGACCAGAGTTGTCCAGCATGTGGACCAACTGATTCAGAGTTCCTGGCTTGGGCATAGAGGCCAAATATGGCACTTTGAAGGCATCATAGCTAGTACCTGCTCCATTACTATGTTATTCAGCATTGCTTCTGCATGGGGGGGGGGGCTTTTGGGTTTGAGCCACTTGTGGGACAACTCTTTCAAGGCCTAGGCTGTTTTGAATGGACTCTCTTCCTTAGTTCTCCCATAAGACCTGAATTTTTGTTGATAGGTTTCTCTAGTAATATGGAGCTTTTGAAATAGGGCCTGCTTGACCTAACATAAAAAGAGCCCTACTGGATCAACCAGTAGTATATCTAGTCCAGCATCCTGTCTCACACAGTGACCAACTATTTCCTTCTCATAGTCAGCTGTGTTGGTCATGTTGAAGGATGGATATGTGGCTAGGGTGAGGCCTGTCAAGAATACCTTAAGATTGTGGCCCACTGCTACCTTAGTCAGGCAGCCACCATTTTAGTTCTTTCAAAGGCCCCAAGGCAAGCCTCCATGTCATCTGTGGGGACAATTTGGATATCTGGAAAGGGCCAGTCCCTGTTCCTCTGGCAGCCTAGCCATTTTCTGCTTAGGTAGACATGAAACAGTGGGTCCGGTCCTTGATACATTGATCTTGGGGCCCCACTTATGTGTCCATAACTCACTGAATCAGCTCCCTCTGAGTGTTGACCAGCCATTCACCAAAATGTTGAGACTGTCCTCAAATGACAGTCTTTACCAGATTTTAATGTCCCATCATATTTGTTGAATTGAGTCAGAATCTCTTAGGGTTCTTCCTTGGCACCTACACACAGCTAATTTCCCCCCTCTTTTTTATCTACCAGGTTCACTCAGTGTACCCCTGTGCATCACCTTATAACACTGTGCCCAGTTCCTTTGTTGCAACTTTAGAACAGGTAAGGCAGGGGTTGGAGTTCTCCTCCTCATCCTACTTGGTTTTCCTTACCATGGCCAGATTTGTATTTGGCAGGGATGGCCAGAGCCCACCACTGCCATCTGAGACCCACAGTGCCCTCCACTAGCTCATAGCTTGATAACTCTGCTGATCCCAGGTCCTCATTAACCTTACTGCATAAGGGCTTAAACCAACAGAATGCTGATCAAATCAGGCCAACTTTCCTTACCAAATGGGCATAGTAATATTGAAAATTCTTTTTTACCAGTATTAATAAAATATTGGGGTTCCATCAATTCAATCAACAGGAATTAGCTGCAACTCTACATAAACATTGATCTGAAGAAAGAATGCCAAGTTTAATATAAAGATTTGAAGGAATGGCGATTGCTCCATATTTCAGGCATGTTGTTCCAGTAGTTAAAATGCTATAGTGTAAAGGAGCAAGACATGGTTTTAGCAATAGCCTATGGACTTACAGTGATTTATCTTTACAGAAAAGTTAGTCCATTTTTTTTTTCAATTAAATTTTTATTAATTTTACATGTATAATACAACATAAGTCAGGTTAACGATAGCCATATAAAGCATAAAGGAATAAACAACTGCATATGGAACAAGCAGAATATGCGCCTAAGTAAGGATATATTCAGTCTAACAAGATTCTCTTGTGTGGATTCTAATGTTTAAAAGTGTAATAAGTCCTTAAGATGTTCATTCTTCGGGATGATTTCGTTTCTAGCTAAGTACGTAACTACTGGGAACCAGATCGCCTGAAAGTTTTCAACAGCATTCTGTGATTGAGGAGAAGTCGTTTTCCCATAAATGAAATGTTCCCACAAGTTGTTTTGCCAGTCATATAGGTTAGGTGAGGAGCTTCTTTTCCATTTCTGAGCGATTGTTATCCTGGCAATAGCTAATAAAATTGAAGTTAAATTTCTTTGTGTTTTTCTTTCACAGGTATCAGGAAGGATGTCTAGGAGGACCGTCTCCGGAAGAGCAGGTAAGTCAATTCCTACGATGGATTTAATTTGAGTCAAGATAAGAGACCAAAATGGTTGGATGAAGGGGCAAGTCCACCAACAATGAAGAAAGTCCGCAGGTTGTCCACAGCCTTTCCAGCATTTCTCATCACAAACGGAATAGATCTTGCACAGACGTACAGGGGTCAGATAACATCGGTGTAGAGTCTTGAAGGAAGTTAATTTGATGTTGAAGGTTTTGGAAGAAAGGTTTGGTGATGACCATATGTCTGGCCATTGATCCTGTTGAATCCTATTTTGGCAATCTTTTGCCCAATGAGTTTGGGATTTTAAAGCTGTCTGTTTTGTGGTGTTGACAAGGATTTTATAGATTTTAGAAATTAAGCCTTTAATATTATCTGTTTTGTAAATGATCAATTTTTCGAAGTCTGTGAAAGATTTACTGGGAGTATGTGATGGAATCTTTTCCCTTAGGAGATGCTGAACTTGTAAATAACGAAACCAAGGTATTTTTTCGCCAATTTTCTGTTCTATTTGAGCTTTCGTGAGAGGAAGTCCTTTATCAAGAAGGTCTATCAATCTAGATATTCCCGCTTGTCTCCAAGATTGAAAAGCTTTCGGTTCTTTTCCAGGGATGAACCAGTCTTGGTTTAAAAAAGAAGATAATACAGAGTTTTTTGATAATAGATCCGGACGTCTGCGGTCCCAAACTTCCAAAGCCGCTTCCAAGAATGATATTAGGTGAACATTTTCATGTCTTTCCACGTTCGTTTGCCAAATAAGATCCGATAATGGTATCTGATCACATATGTGTTCTTCCAAAGATTGCCAGCTTGGGTGAGTTTCTGCGGTGAGCAACTTAACGATTGAGGAGAGTTGTACTGCTTCGTAGTATAGGAGTAGATCCGGGAAATCAAAGCCTCCTTTTTTTGATGGTCTTTTTAGGGCTGCAAAGCTAATTCGTGGTTTTTTGTAATTCCAAAAGAACTGTAGAAAGGCCGTCTGCCAATTAGAAAGTTCCTTTCTCGTGATTTGTATTGGTAGAGAGCGAAGTATAAATAAAAATTTTGGTAAAAGAATGCTCTTGATGACACTAAGCCGATCTGCCCAAGAAAATTGCATCGAAGACCACTGTTTCATTTTATTTCGGAGGTCTTTAAAAAGTGCTTGAAGATTGCATTTAAGGAGGTCCTGTAAATCTGTAGGGATATGGATTCCGAGACATCGCCAGGAGGAGTAATTCCATTTATACGGAAAATTGGATTGAATGGAGTGTTTTGTATCATCCGATATGTTGATTGGAATTATTTGAGATTTTCCAAGGTTGACTTTTAAGCCGAACAGATCTTGCGTGTCTTTGAAGAGTTCCTGTAGTGCTGTTAAAGAAGCTGCCGGTTCGGTTAAAAAAAGGACAACGTCGTCAGCATATAAACTGATTTTGTGTATAGAATCATTTATACGAATACCTTTAATTTTGGGGTTTTCTCTAATGGCGGTCGCTAGCGGTTCCATTGCTAGTGCGAATAATAACGGCGACAGGGGACAGCCTTGTCTGGTACCACGCTGCATGGCGATCCTTTTTCCAATTATATCGTTAGTTTGGATACAGGCAGTGGGCGCCGCATAGAGAGCTTTGATAGATGATCTAAACCTATTTCCGAACTCCATTTCCAGTAGAAGTTGGTTGAGGTAGGTGGTTTCCAAACTGTCAAAGGCCTTTTCAAGGTCGATCGAGAGCAGAAGGGATTCCGTAGATTGATGGTTGGAGTGTGCTATGAGATTCAGAGTTCTACGGATATTATCCGTGAGTGTGCGGTTGGGGATAAAACCCGTTTGGTCATCAGCGATGTAGTTAGGAAGAATACGCTGAAGTCTAGAGGCAAGGATTTTTGCAAAAAGTTTCGCGTCGCAGTTGAGTAGAGCAATTGGACGATATGCGGATGGTGAATCTCTATTGGAATCATCTTTAGGAATCGTGGTGATCTTGGATTCAGTCCAAGATGGAGGAAGAAGACCCGTAGACATTATATGGTTGCATGTTATTGTGAATTGTTCAATTAAAGATGTTTGAAACGTTTTGTAAAATAAAGGGCCGAAGCCATCCGTACCCGGAGCAGTGTTGGATTTCGTGCATTTCAGTGCGTCTCGAACTTCAGTGTTGGTGATTGGAAGGTCCAAATAATCTCGATGTTCCTGTTGTAAGGTTCTTGTCAGGTGATGTTGTCTTAAGAAGTCTCGGATTTTATCCACCTTTGGATTAGTGGAGCTGTAAAGCTTCTCGTAAAATAGTGTGAAGCATTTGTTAATTTCCTCTGGATCCGTGGTCATAACGTTCTTTGAAGTTTTTATTGATAAAATTTTACGTTGTCGTTGTTTGTTTTTAACTCGCCAGGCGAGAAGTTTGATGCTTTTGTTATTTTTTTGCCAATATAATTGCTTCATAAAAGTAAGATTTTTCTGTATTTTTGTAGTTTCATGTGCTTCTAATATTTTTCGATGTGCCAAAAGGTCTTTAAATATTTTCTTGCTACCAGTACGTTTATGTAGAGTTTCTAATTCTTGAATATGATTCAGTGTGGTTTTGATAAACCGTTCTTTCTCTTTTTTCCGTTTAGAGGAAATCGCAATCAACTTCCCCCGAAGAACCGCTTTGAATGCGTCCCAAACGAGATGATCTTTAACCTCACCGTTGGAGTTTTCTTTGAAATAAAGATTTATTGTCTGCGTCAGATCATCTTTTATGTCGTCTTGTAATAAAAGAGAGTTGTTCAGTCTCCATGTGCGTTG